TTTGCCAAAGAAGCCTCAGCGCGAAGCCAAGAAGGATTTTGGAAAGCTATGGGGAAATAATGTCTCGTTACTCACACCGTAGCTTTTTTTTCCCCTTGCTGATAGATGTCCAGGTGCTTAGGTGTCATTGGACACCCATGTGAACTTAAAGTGAGGAGAATCAACTTTCAAAGAAAATTGTTCAACTTGTCATATACAAGCTGAGAAAATACCGACTAGGAACTTTTTGGGTTCAACGTCTGCTTTTTGTTTACCACCAGTGAGTGGTGTTCAGTCTTGTATATGCCATGTTTGAAAACTGGATGCAAAGTAGTCAAAATGTAAACACTTTTTCTTAATGGTGAGGGGTTTTTAATCTGTCTTTTTCAAGGTTCTATTAAGCTGTAGCCCAGTGAAGTGGAGGCTTGCTAGTTTGTTTAACATTTTTTGTGACTGTCGTGATCTGTAGTACCTGTAACACTTTGACTTTGAAGGGTTGGTAAAGGTCTCAGAATTGTAAGATCTAAATTGTAGTCAACAGCTTTGCCTTTTAAAAGCATGTTAATTGTTTTTATGGACACTTCCTTTTGTATACTGAGTGAATGTATTGTTATAGATTTAATGTTTAATGGACCAATAAAGTTTTTCTTACATTTGAAATTAATTGCCGTGATATATAAAAGTTGAAAAGTCAACTCATTCTAGGAGAAACTTTGAAAATGTATAAATAGATCAGCTAAGCAGTTACTGAGCCAGTAAAACTAAATTGTTTGATCTTTTCTGTTCACTACATTTGGATGATGTTTAACAAAAAAAAGAATGTTGGCCTGTGGAGTATTACATGGCTTCGCTGCCCATGTTATTTTTGTACTCCTCCAGAGCATGGTCTGAGAAGGTGGCAGGTTGCACAGGTTTGTCTGTGGCATCGGCTCTGTTCAACCAAGCTCTGATACGTGTCAGATGCCTCTGACAGGGCGGAGTATTTTCCAGGCCAAGTATAGCACTGAAGCCCATGCAGTTGTTTGAAACAAAGATCTCTGATTCCGCGCCCCCCTCCCTTGCCCAGGCAGTGGAGCAGGCAGCTGCTGAATTTGATATGTAGACCGGCACCGGGGAAGGTGCTGTGTCTCCGTGGGTCCTGGTCCTGTGCTCCTCACCATCCGCGTTCGGGCTGTCGTGGGGCCCTGTTCCAGCCTGTCTGGCTGCAGCCTGGCTGCCGGTACTGGCTGGCCCCCCGCCC